GGCTTTTAACACGAGAGCTGACTCTTATCTGCCCCCCAACACCCCCACCCCCCCCTTTTACCACCTCACATGTCCCCACTTTACGTACTGTACCAACAACATCCTCTGCCACTGTACCAATGTGTATTTCTCCCCCTCTGCAGTGATGGCCCCTCTGTAATTGTCTTGTTCAGTCAGCAGCTGCACTTTTGCGCACATCCTTGTAAAATGGCCGTAACTAAAGTTTTTCTGGGTTTGGCATTTTTTGCCTTTCTGAGCTCTGTGTCGGTGGTGCGGGCATTGAGCAGATCCCATACTAAGCTACTTCTCTTCTCCACCAGGTGACAACCACTCTCGTTTGGCGTTTGATGTGATTGTGATCCTTTCTTGTGTCCTTTCCTTCATCTTGTGTGGACGTTCCATCGTACGGGGCCTGAGATTGCAAAACGTGAGTTTGGGGTGTGATGGTGTGTAATAGTTTTGCAGGTTATGCTTGAGGTGAATTTGTGGCAAGGCAATAGAACGTCGATGCATTTACTTATTCTGCACAAGCCGCTCTGTGTTTACATCACCATTGTTATTATGCTGTTAGGTGGCTGGAAAGCTGCTGTGTCAGTGTTGGGAGGGGGGAGCCGGGCAAGCTGAGTCACTACTTGGAAGAGGAGTAGGGGGCAATGGGTTTGTGGGGGGGGGGGGTTAATGGAGAACTATGGGGTTAAGTCTTTTCCCCATAGTTCTCCTTAGGGTAACGGGAGGACACAAACTAGCGTCCTCCCATCACCCTAGGCTCAGTATACCACGAGCAGCTGCTCACAGTATACTGAGACGCTGAAGCGGATCCCGACAATTGTGCCGAGATCCACCCAGCTGCGTGACTGACAGCTTGCTCTGCCTATCTAGAGGCAGAGCCAGCTGTACCCTCCCCCGTCCGATCCGCTAGTCAGCGCTGGCGGAGCGGGGAGGGGGGAATCCAGTCCCTCCCCTGTCACGGCAGAGAGCAGTGACAGGATCGAGAGGTGAGCGAACGCTGTTGTGTTCGCTCACCTCCCGATCTACTGAGCCGACCAGTGACAGTCTCATTGTCACAGGTCGGCTAGAACTATGCGGAGCGAAAATCACCTGCCTCGTAGTTCTCCTTTAAACGTTGTTCCCTTCTTTGCGGGGAGGGACACCCTTTTAAACACTGTCTCTTCCATGACTGAATTTGGAGCTAAACGCATAGCGCGTACCGTCCAATAAAATTAATTATTTAATTAATAAAAGGTACTCGCAAATGTCTCAAATGAGAAAAGGCAAAACAAAGTCCCAATGAGGGATTTGGCAAAAGCAAACAAGAGTAAGCACTCTCCCGGTCCTTCCGGCTAGACAGTGAGAATGACGTAGCTCCACCCACCCTATGTGCGTTGCGTGACTTGTCAGGTGACTTTTTGCCAGGGGTCCGCCAAGGCTCTGCCCTCCTTGAAAACTTTCCCTTTTATGTACATCTCTTCCCCCGGTCGTTGATGACCTCGCATGGCTTCCAATAGCATCTCTATGCTGATGACACTCAAATCTACCTCCCTACTCCACTGCTCACTCCTTCAGTCTCATTTCACTCCACAAATTTGGTAAACTGACCTATCGGTATGGATGCCGCATCCCTTCTTAAAGGGACATTATACTCAGGAGTTAAAGGAGAACTATGAGGTGAGTGCTTTTCATTTACTTGGGGGGTACAGGGGGGAGGGGAAGGGGTTAATATAAACAGTCCAGAGCAGGAAGGTGACACTTGTTCTGCCCCATAGAGGATGTCACAGGTCGGCTCAGTAGATCGGGAGGTGAGTGAACACATACCGGCGCTCGCTCACCTCTCGATCCTGTCACGGCTCTCTGCCGTGCAGGGGAGGGGCACTTGTCTTGCCTTATGCAGCATACAGATCTAGTCTACCATGAGATTAACTTTTTTTTCAGTTGCATTCATTTATATATAATTTGTTCCCTCCAGGAATTTGCTCACTTTGTACTCACCCGTCGCAATCTCCGAGTCTCCGTATCTGACCGGCTGGAGTTTGTGAACGGCTGGTACCTGCTGCTCATCGTCAGTGACATCCTCACTTTATCCGGTACTGTCCTGAAGATCGGCATCGAGTCCAAGGTAACCTTCTGTTCTGATTACTCAGGAGCCACAATACCTGACTTGAGGTCACTTATGTATGTTCAGAAGTGTGCAAAAATTGTGCGTGGCTCGGTGAAAGGGCCGGAGATTACGAAAGCCAACGTTTTTTCTTTCTGCTATTGTACGCGCATGGAAGCAAAATGTAAGTTTTTATGTGATCTTGTCCTCATTCTTCCTCTGTTTTCTTTTTAAGACTTTTGCCAGTTATGACGTCTGCAGCATTCTCCTGGGCACTTCCACATTGCTGGTATATTCCATTTCCAAATTTTGTAGCTATTTATTTTTATTTAATTATTACAATTTTTTTTGTTTTGATTTTAATGATTTTTTTCCATCATTATTAATAAAAAAATTATGATTACATTTTTTTCATACTTAATTTTTTTAGTAATGATAAATGTAATTTTTTAAATCATAATAAAGATGGTTTTTATTGCTGTTTTTTTTTTCTCCTGCAACTTACTACTGTAATCCATGCAGTAGGGCAAGTGAAGGGAAGCAATGGTCTGAAGGTTCTCATTCATCCAGGTCACAATCTGTAAAAAATAAATCAAGGTAACTGGACTTGCTGGATGTTTCTCGAAGACATTTTGCTGGTCATCCGACCTAGCTTTCTAAATTGAGAAAGCATTTTTTTTTTTTTTTTTTTTTCAAAGAAAGCATAGGGTTCTTTTTTAAGTCCTAATAACTTTCATACCATGTAGTCACTTACATTGTACTTGTCTGCAGATTCTGATCGTTACACTCCGAGTGGCTCTTCCTGACGTCATCCGGTTTTGTTGCTGCGCTGCTGTAATTTACCTCGGGTACTGCTTCTGTGGCTGGATTGTACTGGGACCGTACCATGTCAAGGCAAGTAGATTCCATCAGTCCATTTTGTCCCTGCCTCCATCCGCCACCATCTGTCCGTTATGGCCTTTGTTGGTTCATATGTTATCTCTTGGTACTAGATTATATTAATAGGAAAAACAAAGTATTTTTGTGTGTGTGTGGCCGTCCGTGCAGGTCCAATAGAATTCAAGACGAGGATTAGGCAGGGGGGGATTATTAGATGGGCAGTAACTGGGTTTGTTGGATGGAGAAAGTAAAATCCCAGTTGTGGGGCAGCTTTCAGAATTTGCCTAAAGGTGGACCGTGTAGCAGATATTTGGCCAGATTGGGGTAGGGAGTTCCATAGGATGGGAGGAGGTTATGGAAGTTGAGAACGGGAGCTAGAGAACAGTCTTTAACAGTTTGGGTGATATTTTGAGACAAGGTTGGTAATCTTGTTTGGGGTAGAGTGGGTGGCTTTGTATTTTTTTAGTATTTTTTATTTTATTCATTGGGGGATGGAAGCCAGTGGAGGGATTGGCAGAGAGAGAGAGAGAGGGGATGGAAGCCAGTGGAATCAATGGCAGACCGGTGGGCATCGAAGTCGGAGGGATTGGCAGAGAGGGGCAGGGGATGGAAGCCAGTGGTGGGATTGGCAGAGAGGCAGGGGATGGAAGCCAGTGGTGGGATTGGCAGAGAGAGGGGATGGAAGCCAGTGGAGGGATTGGCAGAGGGGGCAGGGGATGGAAGCCAGTGGAGGGATTGGCAGAGGTAGGGAATGGAAGTCGGTGGAGGGATTGGCAGAGAGGGCAGGGGATGGAAGCCAGTGGAGGGATTGGCAGAGAGGGCAGGGGATGGAAGCCAGTGGTGGGATTGGCAGAGAGGGCAGGGGATGGAAGCCAGTGGTGGGATTGGCAGAGAGGGGAGGCAGACACTGAGCAGTTGGTAAAGTGGATGAGTCTGGCCGGTATCAAAGTAGATGGTAGTGTTGCCAGAGATGTCCAGAAAGGAGAAACAGGAGCAGTGTGTCTTATCAGAGAGTAAGATGAAAGTAGTCACTCGCACTCCATGATATTAGAGTCAATGCTGTTTATTGACTGAGAACACACATCTCCTTAGCGACGTTTCGAGACCATGCGGTCCCGTCCTCAGGCAAACAGAGAGTGAGCCAAGCAACAAAATCAAACAATAAATACAGGTGAAACAAAATCAACCCACCAATCACAATGCAGTTAATACCTCCTCCGACGTCCTAACGACGTGATTCACCCCATGCTGCCCAGGTGCAATTAGCTATATGCTGAACACACGATACAGATGCATGCTGGTAAAATACCTTGTCCGTAGTGGTGACCTTGCATTGCCCGAGATCTACCTGCTTTTTTCCGATCCGTGTCATCCATGGATCCGAGTTGCATCCTGCTGGCTGCTCATGTCTAGGGGACCGGCTCTCGCGGTGTACGCTCAGTGTGTTGTCTGCGCATCTATATTACCAAAGATCATTGTGCCGTCCGTCAGTCAATGAGTGTCGGGAACCCGGATCAGGTGGCCGATCGGTTGCTAGGTAATCGGGCAACACTTGTCACTTGCGGAAAATAAAAGTTTAAACATTTTTTTTATTAAACAATGAAGCGAAATATATGACATACAACCTCTTCAATCTGGCGCCTGTTGGAAAAATGTAACAACCGTAGTTGTACTCTTAAGTGGTGTAGTTGAAGGGATACTACTCACATGTTTATGGAAGAACTTTAATTATATAACAGGTCAAAGTATGTGATCACTCTCTCTTCTCTATAAGGAGAGCTCTTTAACATGCAATCCTAAAGGTGCCCATACACTGTACGATTCTCGTACGAGAATTGCGGGAAATCCCACGATCGTACGAGAATCGTGCAGTGTATGGAAGGCGTGCAACCGTTTCTACTGTACGGTCGCACGTCTTCCGTCGAACAAGCAGGCTTGAAAACCCGCCGAGAATCGTACGATTCTCGGCGAGTTAGTGGCCTGCTTGTTCGACAACTGCAGTGATCGGAAGCCCGCCCCCTCGCTACAGTCATCGGAAGCCCGCCCCTCAGCGGGGCGGGCTTTCGATGATCGCAAGTACGATCTGCCCGTCCAAGATGGGCAGATAGTGCGAGCTTTCAATGAGCTTACGACCATCGCAAGACAAAGGTCTTGCGATGGTCGTAAGGTGTATGGGCACCTTAAGATTGATGGCATTTCTAAATGAGTGCAGTTCCAATCACGGTGAGTACCTCCTCTACTCTTTGTCAATTCATTGACAACTGTGTTTTAAAAAATCCCACCATGGGTGACAGGTGTGTAAAGAGGAGGTTCAACTGACCACCTACAAAGATGTGCATGGTCCAAGCTATCATAAATCCATGAACCAAATTAAAATCAACAGGAGCAAGTAACCTTTAAAATATAAGGAAAGATTTAGAAATGTCAACTCATGAAGTTGAAGGACACCAATAAATTATGTGATTCATGGATGCCTAAGACTATCCATCAGACAAAAAGCAGGTGTATGAAGAACTGGAATTTAACCCTTGAGGTATAATTGTATCGAGGGTGTGAATCCAGAATGCTTCCCTGCGTAGAAGTTGTAATTCCCTATTGCCACCTCTATGGTCAATCTGTATATGTTCAATGGCCATTCCCCACAGTTCATGTGTCTGGTGCCTGTTCACCACCGCACCCACCCAGTTGGATTTGGGTTTTTGTCCGGTCAGGAGTGCGATGGGACAGGAGGTTTAAGCGATCAGATAGTAAGGCTGGGTTCACACCTGGTCGTACGGAATATGCGCGTTTGCACCGCGATTTGCGGTAAAAGAAACGCGTGACAAGCGCGCGTTTACGAGGGCTATCCGGCTGTATCCTGATGGATACGTGCGGAAAATACACCCCAAAGAAGCTCCTGTATTTCTCTGGGCGTAGGGCGTTTTTCAGCGCGTTCCTACGCGCTGAAATACGCCCAGGTGGGAACCATACCCTTAGGCAATCATTGGTTTTTCACATGTTGAGTTTTTTACAGCGTGTCAACCAGGCCTAAGGGGGAAACTAGGGAGGAGAGTGTAAAGAAAAATGTGAGCTGGGTGCGTAGCATGGCAGGGAAGAAGGAAAGGTCTACCCAACGGAACAGATACAGCCATATGTTTTGGCTCCTAGTATGGATTGGTTATGACATCCAGAAGTAGTAATGTTTTTCATTTTATGTTTGCAGTTCCGCTCGCTCTCCATGGTGTCAGAGTGCCTTTTCTCTCTTATAAATGGGGACGACATGTTTGTCACCTTCTCAGAGATGCAGAACAGCAGTTACCTCGTGTGGATGTTCAGTCAGCTTTATTTATATACCTTCATCAGCCTCTTCATCTATATGGTGCTCAGTCTCTTTATAGCTCTGATCACTGGAGCCTATGAGACCATTAAGGTAAATATACTGGTATGTTGGGTGGAATGGAAGCTGGTTGTCATCAGGCTGGATCTAATAGTGATCTGTCATGTCCCTCAGTTTCAGAACGCAGAAAAACACAATGTCTCGCCTCTCTATCGGTATATAGCGGAGTGCGAGGACAGCCCCAGCTCCGGGAAATTCCGATCCACCAGCACAACAAACTGCTCCATGTTATGCTGTTGTGCCAATCCGTAAGTATCGCCTTTTATACCTACTTCTGCTTTTAGTTGTCCCTCTGTTTCCTCCTCCCTCTACTGATGACTAAAGATCTATATAGAGGGATCAGGACCTCCTTCCTCCTGCTGGGGATCCCTCTACTGATGACTAAAGATCTATATAGAGGGATCAGGACCTCCTTCCTCCTGCTGGGATCCCTCTAGTGATAATAAAGATCTATAGAGAGGAATCGGGACATCCTTCCTCCTGCTGGAGACCTCTCTAGTGATAATAAAGATCTATATAGAGGGATCAGGACCTCCTTCCTCCTGCTGGAGATCCCTCTAGTGATGAAGAGGGTCTATTCACTTTTCCTGCTGCTTGGCCATATTGTTTAGAGGATTCTTCCCGAAGTGCATAATTTGCCTTTTTCTTTTCAGATCCCATGCTGATGAAGATGAGGCAGTCATTAACTGAAGCGATTTCCTTCTGACCTTGGAAGTGCAAATAGAGGATTCCTAAATACTGGATCTTCAGGATTTTAATTCCATTTTAATGACCGTTGTTTTAATTGACTTTCCGTTATGTTAAAGACTTGACTCCACTCCTGCCTTGCGCGTTGATGCAGACGGATAGGGGACGCATCTAAGCTGCCAAGTCCTGCGAGTGATAAGCTAAATATGTAATTGTTGTACATTTTATCGGGGGTTTTATTTATAGGAATGATTGGGTAGGGATATAATGAAGATGAGGTGCGTCCGAGGGGCGTACCTGGAGGGAGGAGCGGTGTGTGGGGGAGGGATGGTCTGCAGATTTTACTAGAGAACATTAAATTGCAATCAGAGTTACAAATGAGTGACCAAGATAAACGCACAACTGGACTCTAATGCCAATACATGTCAACCATTTACATTTTTTGTTTCGTTTAATTTTTTTTTTTTAAAGTAACCAGGTGGCACTTGTTTTATTTTGTAAATGTTCATATTGTATAAAAATAAAAGTGTCACTGTCTTATTCATTATTGTGCGTGTTTTAAGCAAATTCTAACGAAGCAAATGACTGCAGACATTGTAAGGTTTAAAGAGCTCCCCCGGCCAGAACCATTAATTAAATTTTAGGGTCTCCTCCCCATGTAGTGTTCTAGCACTGAAGTTGATTTGGTGAAGTCCTCAACTCTCGGCCTGCAGCGCTGCTGCTTGGCTTGGTGACAGACGGCTCATGAGTTAAAGTGACACTAAACTCCGGAGTTAAAGGTTTAAAAATACATTCAAGAACCTTCACTATTAACATTTGTTCCTGCTGGCTGGGAGAAGTCGCTGACCAATGAATATTAAAGTGACTCTAAACTCCGGAGTTAAACCTCAACCACTTGCTGACCGCGGTGTTACACCCCCTTCCTGTGCCGGCCAGTTTTCAGTGTTCAGCGCTGCGGTACTTTGACTGACATTTATTCCGTCATGCAAATGCAAAATTAACAAACACTTTTTTTTTGGCAATAAAGTTATCACATAGGGGACTAAGAAACCCCCTATGTTATAGCCAACTCAAATAACAGGTCCTCTTTATGCTGACATTAGAGGTCTCCAAGACCCCTAATGTCACCTAGGGACCCCTTCAGCAGCTTCTCACCAGCATCTGTAGCTGGAGAGTGACACTGAATGTGGAAGTGATGTAATATACATCGCTTCCTGCATTTGGGAACTGGAGAGGAGCTCAAAGGGAGATCGTGTACTGATCTCCCTTTTTTAAAAAAAAATATATAAATTCTTTTATTTTTGTGACATAGTATGTTATGTCAATTATACAACAGAAAAGGAAAGTGCACATATAGACAATGAACCTTTATATGTGGGGAGTGGATGGTAAGTACAGGCATTCGGTATTGTGAATAATGTCTCAATTCAGTACAGGGCAATTGGTGTGAAAACATTGAGCTACAAATGAGACATCCCCCAATTTTGGGGTCAAGCACCCCCTATCTCCTAGGGGGGGATGCGTCAACGTTTAAAATGAACCTCAAATGGCTGAGATATCATACCGATCACTTAGTGAACCGTGAAGAACCTTGACCTCGGAAAAGGTGTTGAATACCTGAGGGAGGGATAGATGCATGAATGCTGAAGGGAGGGGGAGGGGGTGAGGAGAGGTAGAGATAAGGCAAGGTAGAGCATAGATAAAGTTAGAAAGGCAAGGGGGAGACCAGAATGGTGGCATCGCTCAAGATGACATATGCCCGGTATTCAGCCGTGGCTGTATATGCGATCCAGTAGTGCTGGGTAGCATTGAATCTAGAGGCAGTATCTTTGATGTGACTGGTGAGATCCTCCATATACCTAAGGTCATTAATTTTGGAGAACCAGAGCCGCACCGAGGGTGGAGCCTCCTGCTTCCACAGCAGAGGTACACAAGCTCGTGCTGCGTTGATCAAATGGACCATTACGGACCGCCTATATCCCCTGAGCGTATACTGGTCATGATGTAATAGAAAAAGGGCTGGATCGGCCGGAACCTTACGATCAGTGAATTTTTGAGATATAAGTCGTACCTGTGACCAAAAATGTGTCACACCAGAAGATATGGAGCATGTCTGCATCTGGTCCACTGCAGCGCCAGCAAACATCTGGTGAGGCAGGATACATATGGTGTAGTCTACGAGGTGTCCTCCCTTCAGGGACAGCTGCATTATCTTGGTCTTTTCTGGTGGTGTAAATTGCGTCCCTAATTCTGTTTCCCATCTCTATAAAGTGTAATGGCTCGGCTAAATCAGATGATAGTAGAGTTTGGTAGCAAAAGGATAGAGATTTTGCCAGTGGGCTCTGGTCTGTGTAGGCTTGTTCGAGTGGCGTCAAGGGGCGGGTGAAAGCTGACAGATCTGGGATGGATGCGAGATAATGAGAAAGTTGAAGGTGTCGCCATAGACCCAGGCCGCCCAGAACTGGATCCGAGGAGAGGTCTGGTAGGGCCTGCCAGGATGAGCCACGTAAGAAATGCATTGCCCGGTACCTGTCCACGGCCCGAAGGTTCGAAAATAGTCTGTCCTCAAGAACCGGTGGGAATTCAGGGTTGCCTATTATTGGCAACATGGGTGAGGGAGACGGTGAAAGTCGCTTCCCCAGAAATGCAGATCGAGCCACTCGCCATGTGGTACCTATCGTGGGGTGGAGCCTGACTGCCTTAGCCAGTTTTGTCACACCACGGTAACACCGTGAGCGGGGCAGTGGACATGCTCTGCTCCAATGCTACCCAAGGCTCAATCTCTACATGTCGGCACCAGTCCATAACATGGGCCAAGTGTGACGCCACATAGTAAAGCTGGATGTCTGGTAGGGCAAGGCCTCCCGAATCCTTAGGTCTCCGTAAAATAGTCGCAGCTGAGGAGCTCTGCCCGCCCAGACAAACCATGGACTGTACCGAGGTAAAAAAACTATGTTTTGTTTAATAATATTGCATCTTCCCGTCCAAGTGAAAGCCTAACCGAGTATGTCCGATTGAACTGTCTGAAGAAATGGCGGGAAGTTAAGACTATAAGTGTTCTTCAGGTCTCGCGGGAGGTGAACTCCCAAATATTTATTAGAGGTTGAATACCACTGAAATGGGAAATTTAGGGATATGTGTCCGAGCATGCGGGAGGGAATATTGAGATTCAATGCTTCCGATTTTTGATTATTTATATGGAAATTGGATAGGTCTCCATAGAGACGAATGGCAGACATGAGATTGGGCACAGAGGTGTCCGGGGCTGTAAGGAAGAATAATAGATCATCTGCATAGGCAGCTACTTTGTGTCGGTGGGCGCCTACCTGTATTCCCCTGATATCCGGATTCATCCGGATGGAGCGAAGTAAGGGTTGAGTTAAGATAAAAATTAGCGTAGAAAGGGGGCATCCCTGACGCGTCCCATTGGCGATCCCAAACGCCAAGGACCGGACTGTGTGGGTAGATCCATCTTTACGGACATGAAGGCGGATAGGATATCCCCATGATAGGTCACCCCTGCCTGGAGAATCGCATCAAGTAGGGGACGTAGTATAGCCCGGCGTCTCAATGTATTGCGCCACAGGTCCGGCAAAATCTGCAGGCCCGCACCGTCAAACATCACTGGCCTCTTCAGCCATGCCTGCCGCATTATGTCCTCCATCGTAAAATAGTGCAGACGTCACATGGACGGGCCGCATCCGTGGAAGGGTGGCCAAGGGTGCGATGGACTCTGTCCAGTAGAACCTCCGCAGGTGGCGTCTCTTGCAGCAGGGAGCTTAGTACCGCCTGCACCGTAGAAGGTGGGGTTGCCTCCGGGAGCCCCCGGATCCGAATATTATGCCGCCGGTTGCGGTCCTCTAGGTCCTCCAGTTGCAGTTGGAGAGTTGCGAGTTGAGCAGTGGGAGCGGACCAAGCCTGTTCCGGTGCCTGAACCCGGGCAGTGATCGCCGAGCACGATGCGGACACCTCTGTCACCTCTGCAGTGATCGTGCGAATCTCTTGCCTTACTTTGCATAGGTCTTGTTGGAGGGCCACCTCCACTCTGGTGACCAGGGCCGCAAAGTCCTCCTTCGTGAGCAAGTATTTGAGCAGGGCCCTGAACTCCTCTGGCACGTCCGTTGGTATGGGCTGGTGAAGTTCCCGATCGGGATCAGCGGAATCCGAGTCATAAAGCCGGGGAGGGCGAAGACCCGCCGGGGAGCCACTGGGGACAAGTGAGACAGAGCGTGTCCAAGTTCGCAGTGAAGGGGTGCATGAGGCCTCCGGCGCCATGTTGGATTAGTTGCTGTCCCACGATCCACTCCTCGTGCAGGAGAAGAACCTTTGTAGGGATGTTGTATTGTGCTGGGAATAGGAAGCCCCATCCTTCCGGCGCTTCGATGTCATTAGTTTGGCTGGTCTTAGGGTGGTATAAGTGAGGGAAAAAGCAATGAAATTGATAATGGTACCACGGAGCTCTGTATCTTTGCGACTTACTCCGCCATGCGCAGGACACGCCCCCCCGATCTCCCTTTTGATCTCCAGTAACAGTCGCCGTGCCGGTCCCTGGCACGGACCGGTGGCGATGGTGGTGCGGGGAGCGCACACCCGCATCTAATACACCGCTTTGGCTCCGCACATGAGCGGTATGAGGGGCAGGACGTCTTAGGACGCCCTCCCGCTCCTATAAGGCTCCTGTCTGGCCGTTCAGGAACGGCCATGGATGGCAAGTGGTTAAAAATACATTCAGGTTCCTTAACTATTAGCAACAATGTATCTTTGTGTATCACTCGGCTGTAGAGCCTCAAATCATTTCTGAATTGGTGCTGACACTGTCCTTCCTTCTGGAGGGGGGCTACTTCTGTTCCACATGGTCCCTGTTTGTGTTGTCATGTAGTCCCCGCTCCAAGTCCATGCCGGGATGGTCTACAATCTCATGTTCAGTTTACTAATTTGTATTGTGATTGTAGTCCATTGGGTGGCTGCTTCCCAGTCAACCCGGTTATGTTATTAAAGTGTTCTTGGATTCCCCTGATGCAATGGACGAGGCATATGATCTCTCTTGAATAGGGAAACAAGTGAATGACTTAATATTGATGTGATTTGTATCTTGATAAAAGTATAATGTCCTCATTCTGGGGATGGGTTACTATGCTGATGGGAACAAATATCTAATACTTGTTTACTGGGGTCATTGGGGCCCGAGGCTGCTTTGTTCCAGGAATCTTACAGAGTGTTCTAAACTTTTACAACGGGAATCCTTTGTCAGCAGTGTGCTGGTACACAATTATAATTAAGCCAAAGTGCAGATGACTTTGTAGCACACTCCAAGTTAAGGTTAAAGCCTAACCAATGCCAACTTTTTTTTTTTAATTAAAGGGAGTATGTTTTTTATTAAAGTCGGTGTCCTTATTGGGGTGATTTATCCTTTCTTCCTGTCCCAGTGGCAGGATGTCGCAAAGAAAGTGATGGGATCTCTTCCTGAACTTCCCATAAAAAGCACATTTATCTAGTAGAATGCAGTAGGTAAAGCTGCTCTCAGGTTTTTTTTTTCTGTATATCTTCCTATCCCACTGCCACGAAGACACTCATCTCCACAAACCCAAGTCTACCTGTCCCAGTGCTACCAAGACGCTTCCATCTCCACAAACCTACCTCTGCCTATCCAAGTTCCACCAAGACCCTTTCATCTCCACAAACCTACGTCTGCCTGTCCCAGTGCTACCAAGACGCTTCCATCTCCACAAACCTACGTCTGCCTGTCCTAGTGCTACCAAGACCCTTTCAACTCCACAAACCCAAGTCTTCCTGTCCCAGTGCTACCAAGACTCTTTCATCTCCACAAACCCAAGTCTGCCTATCCCAGTGCTACCAAGACGCTTCCATCTCCACAAACCTACGTCTGCCTGTCCCAGTGCTACCAAGACCCTTTCATCTCCACAAACCCAAGTCTGCCTGTCCCAGTGCTACCAAGACCCTTTCATCTCCACAAACCCAAGTCTGCCTGTCCCAGTGCTACCAAGACCCTTTCATCTCCACAAACCTACATCTGCCTGTCGCAGTGCTACCAAGGCCCTTTCATCTCCACAAACCCAAGTCTGCCTGTCCCAGTGCTACCAAGACCCTTTCATCTCCACAAACCTACGTCTGCCTGTCACAGTGCTACCAAGACCCTTTCATCTCCACAAACCCAAGTCTGCCTGTCCCAGTGCTACCAAGATGCTTTCATCTCCACAAACCTACGTCTGCCTGTCCCAGTGCTACCAAGACCCTTTCATCTCCACAAACCCAAGTCTGCCTGTCCCAGTGCTACCAAGACCCTTTCATCTCCACAAACCCAAGTCTGCCTGTCCCAGTGCTACCAAGACCCTTTCATCTCCACAAACCCAAGTCTTCCTGTCCCATTGCCACCAAGACCCTTTCATCTCCACAAACCTACGTCTGCCTGTCCCAGTGCCACCAAGACCCTTTCCTTCCCATAAACCAGCTGTTTACATTTAGGTCAGGATGCACTAGACCTCATTCAGCCTAGTGTCAGGCTTTCTGGTGTATTCCGTTACAATTTTTAGGCCCTGAAGAAGGGG